TAAAGAAAAACAGGTAAAAGATTTCATTCTTTTCCAAGTAGTTGATATTTATAAACTAGACTTAAGCAAAATGTAACAGTAGAAGACAAGAGACTTTGTACCTCTATATGTCGAAATTATCTACACCTTATCTTCAACGCACAGTTTGCACAGATCGTCCATATTGTGCTGCTTTTGACCTTAATATTGTGTTTCTTTGTGTTCCTTTCACATCTCCTATGTATCTCCGCAACGCTATATCATTTGTTTTCTTTGACATCAAATCTATCTCCCTGCTATTTGATGTTTTTTTATGGCGATGAACATCTCTTTATATACTACTAGTAAAGCTTATTAGTGACACACGCCACAAAACTACTCAGTCTACAGCATGATTAATTCATATGAATACAATATTATTAAAAGTTCCTATAAATCACGTGTTATTTAGTGATTGTAGAACCAATGTCTGACTTCAAAATTGTATACTGTGTTAATTAACCTTCCACCAATATATGAGTATTTGATATTAATTATACACGTGCCTTACCAGATGGAAAGAAATATTTTATCTTTCAGTTCAACTCTCCATGTTATTTTTTACTTGAACGTTGGCCAATATATCACTTAGAGGATGCATACAGAAGCCATAGACTTTGTCATCATCACTAGCTTCAGATTCAGTGGTCAAAAGTAATCAGGGAAAGATTTTATTCTAATGTGTAGCTCTTTTGTTTAGCTCTCAAATGGATTCTAATGTTTTAATAATGCTTGAAATCATATGTATGCTTCACTTAAGAGAGGTCCATCCAGTGTCAACCTGGCTCGTTACGAAGATATTGACCGTCAGATTGATTTTCGTTGTCAGTATGAACAGTTATTTAACAAGGCAGAAAGACTTCATCGTTGTGAACAGCTGTTTAACTTGGACTCTATAAATTTAAATCAGCTGAAACATATTGGCCAACAAACACAAGCATTTTTGAATTTATACAAACTATACAACGAATTTAACAAAACCCTGGATTCATATAGAAAAACATTTTGGCTTAGCATGGACCTTAAAACATTTGAAGATGAGTTAAAAGAAATGCAGAATAGGTGAGACTGTGAAGCTTTAAAAAACATGTTTGATTTCGCGTTAAAAGTTTTCTTATAATAATAGCATTATTCCGCAGTGTCTAAATAATGTACAGAATTTTCAACGGAGTTTATTGCCTGGTATTTTCCCTTCATACAAGATCTTCAAATAAAACATTAATTGACAGTATATCCTGTGACACATTTGTACCTGAGCTGAATTGCAAACCAATCCATTATGATTTTTCTCCTTTGTCTTCCTCAAGAAATCCACGACATTTAGTTGAAAGACAGTTATAAAAACTTCAGAAGTACAGTTCTCTCAAGTACTGGGACACGTCGCCACCCACAATCAGGCCTTATCTCAAGTTTAGTAGATAGTTGCGAATCAGAAGCTTGTAAACATTTTAAATACATACAGAAGTAGATATTACAATTAGAGGCATATAATAATCGATTAAAACAAAGCGAAGGAGAAAAATTATATGTGATATAGAGATGGAATTATAAGATGGCTGGAGGTAATCTATAGGAAGCCTTGGAACTAGGTTTCGTGCTAGTTAGCATTCACCAGTCAGTGAGGTGTACTCGCAACCTTGAAGGGACTAATGTCTCTTCTGAGACTCGAACCCGCGTCACCCAGTGCTGCAGTCAGAGAGGTTACCACTGGGCTATTTAGGCTCACGACTGACCTCCTGTAGGACTGTATTGGATATTTTTGATTGGACACTAGCGAGTAAGTAGTGCAATATGTCTAGTCCTATCTTTGGTGCAGACTGAATTCTACCAGTCAAGTTTGCAATGTTCTCTGACTACAGCACTGGGTGACGCAGGTTCGAGTGTCAGAAGAGACATTAGTCCCTTCAAGGTTGCAGATACGCCTTGCTAACTGATGAGCGCCAACTAGCACAAAATCTAGGTCCAAGGCTTCCCGCCAATTGCCTCCAACCATCTAATATCAACCATTCAAAGTTCACCATGATGGCGACCTACTTATAGTGGTGAACACACTGCAAACCTGACCGACAGAAATCAGTCTGTACCAAAGATAGGACTAGACACATCATGCTAGTTGCTAGTGTCGAATTAGAAATGGAAGTTTTTGGTAGCTACAGTTTTAAGCAGGTCGCCGGTCGTTACAGACTTTAAACTCCATCCTCGCATATTTAAACCATCAGTGCCAAGGTTAAACAATTACTTATCTTCAGCAGCAAGGTTGAAGGGTAACAATGTAGGAAACTTTGAATATACATGAAATAGTTTTTTACTCATGTTCCGCTTCCCACCTTTTTGATCACTGCAAACAAGTGTAACTGAAATGTTCATAGTTAATGAGTTCTTCTTATAACAAACTGAATCCCAGTTGATACGTTTGTATTCTGCAACCGTATTTGAGTAAATGTATATTTTATTTACTTCATTAGCCACTTAAAGTATATAGATATGTAAGATAACTAATCTAGAAGTACCTCATTACAATTCAGATGTCGTAACCTGACCAGATTTACACGTACTTGGGCTGCATACAAAACTGTGTACGAGAAAATAGACGAGTTTGTTCGAAATTTGCCCTTACTTCAGCAACTTAAAAGCAAAGCTTTAAGAAGAAGACATTGGACTAGGATTGGACAGCTAACGAAGATAACTTTGCTTGCTAATGAAGCAGTCGACTTGAAATTCGAGCATATAATCAGTGTTCTAATGAGTCTGAATGGTGACAGCAAGCAACAAATTGAAGACATTTGTGTAGCAGCGCTTCGTGAGTCAGATATTGAAAGACAATTTAATTCACTAATTGGAACATGGAAACGACGGGAATTTTTACTGAGTTCATTCAAATACCGTGGTCATCTATTGTTAGACAGTGGTCAAATGGAGAGTATACTTCAAGAGTTAGATGAATCTATAGTCATACTAAATAATCTTTTAAGTAACCAGTAAGTTGTACGTTTTGTTTTATCTGTGAAGAGTGTGAGTCAGTGAGCTTACTGTATGGTGCATACTAATGCGAAATGCTACTTACTGTGTTGGACGTGTGATGACTTTACGCCAAAAAGTTAATATTTTTCTTAAATTCCCAGTGATGTTCGATAAATCAATATTCAATAGTTTTAAGTTAAAAATGCTGAAAGTAATAAAACTTCTTCTGATTGTTACTTTAAATTTATTCTTCAGTAACTAGAATGGCTTGAAGTTATGTTTATGCATGAAGTTAATAAACTAACTTACTGAATAAGAAAAATTTCCAGTGATTTCCCATACCACCGTACCGGTGGGGAACAACCAGATTTTCTAACTTGACGTCGACAGTTGACTGTGTTCATAGGAAAGTTGTGTTCTAGCTCCTTTTAACTTACCAAATGACTCAGTGGAGGCATTCAAATTATAGGTAGATGATTCGGTTTTGTTTAAGCGTGAGCTACTTACCTTTTTAATTCTATGTATTGTGATGATCGTTACATATATGACAGGGAGAAAATGCGATGTTTTCACCACATAGAGATCAATATCCTTGAACTCGATTCTAAGAATTCTTCTAGCATAAACTAACAAATTATTCATTCACTGGCTTAATGAAATAACTCTGAGTAATTAACAGCGAGTACTTTTCTGTACTTGATATCTCGTGTCACTTACAAACTGCTACTAATTTCAGTAAATAATATGATAGGTAAACAAAGTCTACCAAAGCTGGACGCAATAAACTAATCGGATCATTTTCATATTACTAAATCTGAGCTTATTAAACTTCAGTTAAAAATAAACACACTTCTGGACAGGTGAATATAAGGTCTATTTGAAAATCGACACTGTTTTTTGTCAGTAGCTCTATTTTATTTTATTTAAGCCCACAATAGTTCATAAGAAGTCTTATTAGTGGATATAATCTTTGAAATGATTAGTCGTATTTGAGTAAATTTCGTTTTGATAAAGTCTCACAGTGTTATACAGTAATGCTACTGATGCGTTTCGCACAATTTATTGCTCATAATCATTGATTATGATCACAAATGAGTCGTATTTGAGTTAGCACAAAAATCAATTCATATTCAATTTAATATGTCTAGCTAATAGCCAATTTAATACTTTAGTTACAGTATTCCACTGCGTATCCAAATTCAAGCTTGGTTGGTTAACTTACAAACGACATACGAGATCCTCGAAAGTTGGTTCAAAGTACAAAATCTGTGGATGAATATGGAAGCAATTTACAATAAAAATGATGCTGTGATTAAACAACACCTAAGAGAAGACACCAGAAGATTTTGCTCCGCTGATCGTAATTTTTTAAAATTAATGGGACGCATTGCAGATATACGCTGTATTGTTACGTTTTGTGTCAACAGTGACATATCATTACATCATTTATTGAATCATATAAATGAAGAATTAGAAATGTGTCAGAAATCATTGGCCAACTATTTACAAACGAAAAGGAAATTATTTCCACGTCTTTATTTCATATCTGATTCATCGTTGGTGGAAATTATTGGACAGATGAATGATACTGCCAGTATGCGTGTTATACATAGACATATTAATAAACTATTTACAAATGTGGGGAAATTAAATTTTATCAACAAGGATAATGCTAATGAAATTGTCGAAGTATGCTCATTCGATGGCGAAAAGCTGTCAGTAAGTGGAAACTACTTCGATATTCATATAAGCTGTATTATTTCAAGTATTTTGAGTAAACCGAATGTTTTAAAATAACTATTGACTCTCATATTGTGGCTCGTATACTGTCGATACGTAACTACGCCATTAATGTAGGTTTTTGTGCTTTGGCTAAGGGCCTACATCTATTATCTTTGAGGTAGAATATCACTACAACACTTCCCATTCTCACAAAGAGGTTGCCAGTGTTTCCTTATACCAGAAACCTCTAAATCCGGTATTATATACTTCATCGATGATTGATATAGCTGATATTCTTGGTATAAAATGGAATAATAGAAACAGAGTTCCTTGACTAGTGATGTTTAAAAATAATTTCATTCTTTTCATATTGCTATGTGTGTTGTTATTCTTTCATTCATCATGGTCTTCTAGTGAAGCCTTGTCTAATTTGTCATGTATCAATAAAGGAAATAGCAGATTTGTAGTTGATTATAGAACACAAATCAACTGAATGCATTTCTTCTCTTAATAGATGGCTATAGTAAACAGTGAGAGTGGATTTAAACGACGGAGGTTTCTGCAATGAAGGAACTTACATAGATTATAGCATCATTAAATTTCATTTTCCTTAAATGTATTTGACGTTCAATTGAGAATGCCACTTGCATGTTTCTTTGTTTGTTTTTAACTTTTGATTAGTTAATGATACCTGTACGTTGTGAGGGTTCATGTGAGATCTGGTTGTCAAATCTCTTACATTCTATTCGCAACACATTACAAAAGCTATTAGAAAGTATGCATCATTCAATTGTTATGATTAATGATGACAATTTTATGGAGATACTTATCAACAATCCAACACAACTCGGTATTCTTTGCTTACAGTCATTGTGGACAAAAGACATCAGTGAAATGTTGGGTTCAAGCAATAAGATTTCACTAGTTAATATTTATAGTAGCATGGTGTATGATAAATATGACTGTGGTTCAGTTAGAAAATATTTCCTAAAGGTTTATCATACACTTCTAAACCACACAAAGATGGTTAGAAAGACCAATCTGCAACAGGCGAAATGTGAAAATCTAACAACACAGTGCCTAATCCTGAAGGAAATCTTAGATCAACTTGTAAGTTCATTCCTCAGATGACTGTGTTTAATTTAATGAATGAATACTGAAACAAATATGTTAAACCAATTTTTTTTAAAATTTAAAAAGCCTATACGATAAATGCATTTATGAATAGAGTTGAGGACGTGTTTTTTTTCCTGTAGTTGAATTATGTCATCAAAATGCATCAGCCTAAATTGGCTGTAGCGACTAAAACTGACTCGTTATGGTCTGAATGCAGGAAGCAGATTTTTATGTTCTACTGAATAGCTGGGAAACTTCCTTGAGACACACCCGCCGTCACATAAAGCTCCAGAGACAGGAAACAGATATTTATTCTGGAGTGATTTTGTGGTTCTATTAAATAACTGTGGCATCAAAAACTCAAAATTACCTCAACAGTTCCGTTAAGCAGTTATACAGTCCCTACTAATTTGTTTATTAGATATGTAACACAGTGAAATAGCATTATTTACTGGATGACGTTTCGAACTCAATTTATTACTGTACATAATCATATCAGTTATAACCACACAACTTCGAAACTTTCGTTTCATAGTTTTCTTTATTCTTTCCTATTTGTCGTGGGGGTAGCAGAATTTTCTTGATGTCTGGGGCAAGCGTTGAATCACTCCTGTTACATGTACTCTCTCTCAGTTCGTTTGATAGATACGTCTTTTGTTACCAATCTCTCCCTTCATCCTGTTATATAAGATTTTAGAACTGTCATCTTATCCTATACTATTGTATGGTTGTGTGTAATTGCATGTAGTGCTACAGCTGAACTATTCTCTCGATTTCTTATCTTATTCGGGTCAACCAATCTAGATTTCGTTAGGTTGTCAATCTCCGCTAGTCTGACTGTACCTTTTCTACTACTTTAACTTATGTATTTGACCTGACAATCATTGCAGGGTATTAGATAAACTAAATTGCTTTGTTTAATTGGCTCCACAGGATCCTTTAACTGACAAAGCTTGCTTCTAATTGAGTTTGTGGGTTCGAATACCACTTTTATTCCTGACTTGTTAAGAATTCTGCGTAAGGTTCCTAAGGTTCCATCTTTGAATGGAAGTACTACTGATGATTTAAATCCCCTATTGCTGGTGTTGTCATTATGTTCTCCTTGTTTCACATACATGTCTGTAATAATACTAGCACCATTATTATAAATTTTATTTTTACATTTTCCTATAAACTTCCTGATTAATTAAATTAATTAAATTATTAAGTTCGAAAGTTTCTCTTACATGTCTCTGGAAAATTCTGCTACTCCCACGACAGATAGGAAAGAATAGAGAAAACTATAAAACGAAAGTTTCGAAGTTGTGGGGTTATAACTGATAAAGTTATGAACAGTAATAAATTGAGTTCGAAACGTCATCCAGTAAATAATGCTATTTCACTGTGTGACATATCTAATAAACAGATTAGTAGGGACTGTATAGCTGCCTAACGGAACTGTTGAGGTAATTTTGAGTTTTTGATGCTATAGTTATTTAATAGAACAGGTGTGGAATTTTCAGCATGTGATATCGGTAGCTCAAATATTGTTGGCCGGCCATAGATATCAGGTGTGCGTTGGCAGGGGATCGAACCCCGGACTATATGCATGATCGGCGAGAGTCATAACCTCTGCTCCACCGACGCATCCCAATAAACATGTATATGTGATTAGATCGTTCAGGTGGGATTTACCAAACAGTCTTTCCGTTATATTGGGCACTTTAATTTCCTGAACAGAAAGAAATATGATCTGAAACTATTAGCGCGACAATTTTACTTTCAATTATATATATGTGAATATATATATATATATATATCGTGGGCTCTTCGTAGTCTTTATGGAGCAGGTTTTCAATTAGTCCAACTACATGCTTGATCTTTTGAAACTTTCATACTCATCTTTATAGTGTAATTCCTATGGCTTTCATATTAGTCTTCTTAACTCTTTTTACTTATTAGGTCTAGGGCGGCATCTAGGGCTTAAGTACATAGACGTTAAGAGATTATAAATTGTGAAAAATACGACAACATGAATAGTGAATAATGCAGTGACCACTGAGCGCAAGGCATATATCCTACCAAGATTTCCAAAGGTCACAAATACATTGTTCATTAGGCTACCGCAAGATGGAAATTTGCTTTTTGTATGCACTTCTGATGCCATGATTGATATTCTGACATCAATTTAGACTTTGGTAACCTTGGTCATGATTGGCCGCTTCTGTATATTTTCTCACGATGTAGTACACCTGTATTGGTTTCAGATAATTTGTTGATCTGGTAGTTGAACTTTTTGTTCATGTGACTTCCTCTTTATTGACTGGTAAATCTTATCTGTGTCAATACGTCTGTTGATTGCAGATGCTCCTTAATATCAGTCTTCTAGAGATTCTCTGGCATTTTTAGGGTTTCTTTTGCCTATGATTTGTACATTATCCCAATCGAATTGTTATCCGTAGTTGTCGGTATTCCTTGATATGAGGGAATGGGTAGCAAGTCTCTTGGCGGCCAGTCTATGTTTGTGAATACAAAAACGAAGAGGGTGTCCACTTTGATCAATATGGGTGGGGTTAAACTATCATAAGCAAAATCACAGTCACCGTGAACAACCAATCGGAATTCAGATGCGAAACATTTTCATTATCCTTGAAAAAATTTAATAATAAACATTGCAAACATTATATTACGCTGGATAATTGCCTCTTGTGTGTTGTAGGAATCTATTCCTATTGTTCTAGGGATATTCCATAGAAAAACCATGCCATGCCGGATTGATGTATGCATCCAGAAGACTGTATGTCATGCTAATTTGAGATCCATTGATATTCCTGACACCATTGATTAACCCACCACTAATCTTAAAAACCCTAAACCTGCCTACCAATATATGTATACAGATGAATTACTTGTGGAACAAGTAGAATACTGTATTTGACCTCACCAAATCCATAAAGGCAGATATGGTTTCATTTGGATTGATCATTGTTAGCAACCGCAAACCTGATTAGTTCTTGAGCGTCAACGTTTGACAATCCTTGACTAGGGTTACCACAACTTCACTTCATAATCGTTGCGATGTAATCAGTTGTTCTCCCCACGTCACTCAGCAGAGAGTATATTTTCTCTCTGTAGTATACCCACTTTCACCACAAACCAGTGAAAAGTATTATTTAATCGTTATGAATATGAATAAAAGAGAACAAACTATACAGGCTTTGATAAATTGACAAATGAACCATAAATATTTATCTAAGTACGGTAGTGAAAACCACTTATGCTTAACTTGAAATCATCGAATGCAGAAATGTGTCTTCATAAAGCGAGTGATTTCCAACTATTATCAATCAGCAATATTATATATATATATATATATATATATATATATATATATATATATATACTGTCAAATTATTTTTCAACCTAAATATATTGCATGTGTGTTAGTGGTTACAGTTTAAACAAGTTCAAAGATTTAAAAGAATTTCGTGATCTCATTTTATAACTGGAGCTAGACTGATGTATTTTCAATGCATTTGAGACTTAATGTAGCTTTTTACATCTACTGAAAAATCGTGCTTTGGAAGTCAAAGCTAATTAAGAATGTTTCAATGCTTCGAGTGATTAGTCAGCAACTCAGTTTTATTCTCTCACCTATAGGACCAGAAATTATGCTCTGTCAGGCTACTTCATAAATAATTTCCTTCTACTTGAAATGCTATATTTCAAGACTTTTTGAATGAAAGATCTATGGAGTCATTAAACTACATTTTGATGCTTATGCTACTGTGAAATGTTTCATTTATAGATTAGCTACTTATGAGTAGTAATACAATAATGATTCATTAAATTAGCAAACACGAAACATTTAAAATTTTCAAGTATTGGTTTTGTAGGGATTTGGTTTGATTGCATGGAGGGTTTCATCATGAGCTGACATCAGTTAGAGAACCACTGGAAAACCAGCTGGGAGTACTGGACAGCTGTTTCGTCCTAGTTTGGGACTCATCAGCAGTACGCGCCCAACGGGATTCGAACCCAGGACCTTCTGGTTACGAGGCGAGCTCGTAGACCATTGAGCCACTGGGACCCGATCCAATGGTCCTTGAATTCTAACTTCTGCCGGTTCACGACATAGCGCGACCATTTCGCAATGTCTTCTTCGTGAGTAACTGTCCTCATCTTCGACCTGCTGTACCCTACTGGTCACGGCTTCCCACTAGAACCCCAGGTTAACTGCCTGAATAGGGCCAGTCACTAGTGAGCATCAGATTAATTTGCAAGTATTGGTTTTGTAGGGATTTGGTTTGATTGCATGGAGGGTTTCATCATGAGCTGACATCAGTTAGAGAACCACTGGAAAACCAGCTGGGAGTACTGGACAGCTGTTTCGTCCTAGTTTGGGACTCATCAGCAGTACGCGCCCAACGGGATTCGAACCCAGGACCTTCTGGTTACGAGGCGAGCTCGTAGACCATTGAGCCACTGGGACCCGATCCAATGGTCCTTGAATTCTAACTTCTGCCGGTTCACGACATAGCGCGACCATTTCGCAATGTCTTCTTCGTGAGTAACTGTCCTCATCTTCGACCTGCTGTACCCTACTGGTCACGGCTTCCCACTAGAACCCCAGGTTAACTGCCTGAATAGGGCCAGTCACTAGTGAGCATCAGATTAATTTGCAAGTATTGGTTTTGTAGGGATTTGGTTTGATTGCATGGAGGGTTTCATCATGAGCTGACATCAGTTAGAGAACCACTGGAAAACCAGCTGGGAGTACTGGACAGCTGTTTCGTCCTAGTTTGGGACTCATCAGCAGTACGCGCCCAACGGGATTCGAACCCAGGACCTTCTGGTTACGAGGCGAGCTCGTAGACCATTGAGCCACTGGGACCCGATCCAATGGTCCTTGAATTCTAACTTCTGCCGGTTCACGACATAGCGCGACCATTTCGCAATGTCTTCTTCGTGAGTAACTGTCCTCATCTTCGACCTGCTGTACCCTACTGGTCACGGCTTCCCACTAGAACCCCAGG